GATAGAATTCTGTTTTGATGAAAAGGACTGAAACTTAGAAAAATAACAATCTCTAGTCTGACTTTTTGCAGTGGAGGAAGAAGCTTTCCTTCAATAATATACTGAGCAAAAATCGAAACTTCTAGAAACTGAAGTTTAAAGTATGTTTTCCTTCTTTCTTGCTTTTTATAATTGTAGGAAATTGAGAGGTAGCTGCTTATGTCAAGTCGGGAAGGAAACAAGCCGCTGGCAAGGTTTCTGCAATAACAGTGGACTGCTGGAGCCAGTTTCTTGTACTAAAGGAAGGCAGGTTCTTATGTTAAGAAAACCATAATACTTTTTTTTGTCCACCCTGAATGCTACTCACTATGGTACCTCAGAGCTCCCTTTGACTGTAAATGTAGTCACAGGGTGTAGGCTCTTGACAAAGATTACAGCTTGCCTGAGACAGTCAAGATGCTTGAATTTAGCTTCTGAGAGTCAAAGCCACAAACTTTTATCAAAAGTGAGCTGTGTGCTTTCTTTCACTCTATTTTAATGGAAATAGAGTTCTCTCAAGGCTACCATAACCTACTTGAAAGAATGACATCAAAATAGGTGCTGTGGCAACTGTGCAGCTTTATTCTCAGTCTGTTAGGAGTGGGACACATGGGCAATGCAGTGCTGCTGCTGAGTGTTATGGTGGCAGATGAAGAAATTAACCAAATTTACCTCAAGCTATTATGAACAACATCTGGGGAGTTTGCTAGTGCGGGGATGGACTGGGCTGCAGTGTCATACAATCTTGTGGAGTGTCAGTATGCTCTTTGAAGGAACCAAAATGCCATTTGTATTTGATTTATGTTTGGAAACAAATTTTTAGGAGCAAGTTTGACTATTTGCAAGACTTTTTCCACTCAGTGGATAAGCTAGTCAAAAAATAAAGACTTAAAAATACTTAGAATTCTTTTATCAACTTAAGCTAATTATAAACTAATAAATTACTGTAGTTTTCCTCCTGCATTTAAGGTAATTTGTTTACTGGAATGGCTGCCTTGGATGACTGTAACTGAAGCTGAATGGACAGCAATGACTAGTACTCAAACTACTTGCATTCTGCTTGTGAAATTCTCTTCACTTTCCATACAGAAACAATTTTCCAGCTTATAACTGAGCATAGCTTGGGGAATGACTGTGTTATCTATATAAGAGCTGGAAGACTGTTACTTGATTATCTAAGCCACTATCTCAGGACTGTCATTTGCTTCTGAGGTAAACTGAGAAGCTCCTGAACTTAGAGTCAGGAAGTCATTCAAACTTGAATATGTTATGGTGACATAAATGAAGCTGAAGAAACATGCTTACTGTGAACACAGATTTTACCCTGAAGTCTGTTAGCAAGGAACCACTGCTTCCCATTTCTAGTTTGTTGAGCAATAGCCAAATGACTGTAGAAACTTGTTTGGCATCTGAGTGGAGAAATGCAGGAGTGACTTAAGGATCTGAGTTTGTCACCTGTTGTTTAATTATGTAATGTAACTTGGTACCAGTTTTGACAATATTTATTCTGGTGCACTGGCTGGCCATTAACTGCCCCAGCAGAATACAGGCTGTATGACAATTGTTAGAGAAAGCCTACATACAGTCTAATAAAGAGACAGTGCTACACAAAATCTGGCTTGACTTAGTATCTTTATATGGTTTAGGATTTTGGCCTATGTGGGACTTGTGCAGAACTGGTTTGTTTGTCCTTCTGCAACAGTGTTTTATCTGCAATTCTGACTGGTGACTTTCAGTTGTCTGATGATCAGCTGGGTGATGCATAATCCTTTCAATTTGAGGGCTTGCATTCAAACTGCTAAGCAGCATGATTTTGGACAAGGAAGCTGTTGATTTTCTTTTTTTTTTAAATAAATGGTATAATTATTACACTACTGAAGAAAGAATTGCTAGAGAAATGATGCTGAAATTATAACAGGAATGAGCTGTGCTCCAGGGGCTGTTCCAAACTGGGTCATGAGTTTTGTGATAGTAGACTTAGCAGCTCAGCAGGCCAGAAAGTTGACATTATAATGCTGAATGAGCATGGGTAGAAATGCTCATAAAAATGAAACAACTAGCTACGAGTTTTGTGCCTTACTCTTGTCCCTCTGCAGACAACCAAAGCACTGGCAGTTTTCAGAATAGCTGGTAGCACCTTAGTGACTGAACAAGGATAACTCAGCATAAAATATCAAGGAGAGAATAACATTATTGATAGCCTGCATAGTCTTGAAATGACAATTTAATGGAAAATGAAAGTTTCTCTTGACTCTTCAGGATTGTCTTCTATCAAATTCCTGTCCAATGAAAGCCCATGCTTCAGGAGGTGTTTGATTTGCTTAATGAAAACTGTCTATCTGTGAGAGATGGAGGCAGCAGGGCATGCAGAAGCCCATCCTACTGAAGGAAGGGGTGGTCTGCTCAAACAGGGCAATAATCCTTAGTGATAAAGGCCCATACAATAATTTCAGATGTGAATATAGCCTGAATTAAAAATAGAGACCTAAGATGTAAATAGGTTAAGCAGTATAAAACAGGACTCTCAAACTGCATTTTAAAATCGATCCTCCCTAACAGCTGCTTATCTCAGGAACACTGCTCTTTCAGTACTTATTTCTAGAGGAAGGAGAATTGGTGCAGTTTCTGGGTTTAAAGAAACATGAGGTTTAGAAATTGATATCATAGTTCATATCCAGACCAAAGCGAACATGTACTTTGTTTTAGAATATAGTTGTCAGGTTGTGACTTGCAAGACGCTAATTTAGTCAATGCCTTTTGGCTTACTTTTCAATCTGAATATTTACAGTACTTATGATCAAAATCTGAGAAGATTTTTGAATTCACAAGGAAAGCAAAGAACTCTGTCCTTTTCTCCAACTTGCTAGCTGGGCTAGCATGTCAAAAGTTCAAAAGGGAATGTAGTAGGTAAAGTGAGCTCAATTGGCACTTCTACCCCCACATTTTACTTGTAAGCCTAATATGTTGTTTAGAGATTAACTTTATAGACTTCATGCCTAGAAGCATGAAAAGAGTTCCTGAAGACCTGAGAGCTTATGTTTTTTAGCTGCTTTTATCCACTTCTAATCCCTTTTTTGGTAACTTGAGAGGAGAAATGAATATTTTCTGCAGGTGAGAACCTATATGTTGAATATTTTAAAGGACTTTCTACCCGAGACACTGACAAAGAGTTGATGTTGTACTGTGTAATGGTGAACTTGCTTAAAAAAACAATAGCTGAAATCAGAGGAAAATAATCCAGTACTTAACTTCTGGGAATCTCCTTCATGCACTCTGGGGAACCTAGCTGTATTCACTCTTGAGTGAAGTATTTTTACCATTGAGACAAGAGTGTTTATTTATAAAGCCTGACTTCTGACGTAAGTCTTAAATGCAATTTTATTATTAGTTGCTAGCACAATCAACAGTATTTTACCTGGAAAAGAGAACTTGAATGCTTTAAACATTTAGCAATAAGATACTATAACAAAATATTGTTCTATACTTTATCACTTGTAAATTATGAACTTACTTGCATAATGTGAAAGTACATAACTGACTTATCAAGTTCTTTTGCGTGACAGCCAGTACTGGCTGGCAGCAATACAATGACCCATAGTCATGGACCTGCCTAGTGTAGGAAAATATCTCTGCAGTTGAACCTGTTTTGAGCAGCCAAAAGTATTCCCTAGTGATAGCTTAAGCATAACATGCTACAAATTATATTGTACAGAAGTATCCACTCAGACACCAGATCCTGAGTTAGGTGGCCTACAAGATAAAAACTAAAACAACAAAAAGGAAAAGGCAGTAACTGAGAATAACTACTGTGCATGTGCCATCAGGAAAGCTGGAGGTAACTGTAGTCCCAAGTGAACATCAGCTTCCTAGGGTGCTCCCTCATGAGTTCTTCTTTAAAAGTATACAAAGTTAGTTAGTGGATTTGCAGTCTGACAACAGGAGGCATTATTCTGTGACTTCTGGTTGTATATTGCAATTACAGGCTCATGATCTTGCTTTCAGGAGGTCATAACTCCTAAAAACAATTTTGTAGTGTTGTAGCCAGGATGTCATTAGGAGAGGACTCTCTGTGTCTACTTTTAAAATAATGTGCGAGTTGGATTGCAAAAGTGGGATAAGATTGCAGTCCAAGAATGAACAGAAGTAATGCAGGCTCTCACACAAGTTAGTATAAGGACTTGTGGCAGGGTGCCTGTGTGTTTTACATGGACTTGTGCAGTATTATAACCTTGCTCCTATATGATGTCCCTTTAAAGGATGTTAGGTTTGGGTGCTGCCTCCTAGCCTTGTTCAGCAAAGCTCTCCCTAATCATGCTCTACTTGGTTTAACTCTGTAGCCAAATATTCTGATCTCCTTAGCACTGAATGCTGTAATGCATCTCAGCCTTGTTGCTCTTTGAAGCTACCCAAACTTGGCAACTTGTGCTATCAAATCTTCATCAGTCCTGGATGGATTCACTTTAAGACTTACAGGTTTTGCTTTTGAAGATGTTGGAGGCCCTGTTGTATCAGGTAGTAGAAAAGTACAGGAAGTTTGGTTAATGTCCTATGGTGATATCTGAAACATTCCCTTGAATGCAGAAAAAGAAACTTGTGTGGAATAAGACTTTCTTTCCCCTTCCCTCCCCACCTCTAATCTTGTATATATTGGGAATCCAGCTCCTGAGACAGTAGGAATAGCAGATGCTTCTGCAACCTTAGAAACATCTCAAGTGGCCAGCAAATCAAATATACTGCTTGGTGATATGATGACAAAATACCAGTAATTGGGATACCATATAAATGAGGCTCATAGTTATGCCGTTTGAGGCTCAGTTTACTCATCTAGCTTAGAGCCTTATCTCTATTTCTGTATCTTGAGTTTCTCAATACTGATGTTGTTGCTTAAATGGAGCTAATGTGTAACTTAACAGCTTGGTACTTGCTTCTACTTACCAAAACTTCTAATCTGTCTAATCAATGGCTTATGTTCTTATTTTCAGACAAATCTACCTATCTTCAAATTGAAAGAATCTACAGTCAGAAGAAGATATAGTGACTTTGAATGGCTAAGGAACGAACTAGAAAGAGAAAGCAAGGTGAGTAAAGTAAAAAGTAAATACATGTCAGACATACAAAGAGTTCATGATGCTGAAATGTTTTCATTATGTTAAAAGCATATATCATATAAAGCAGATACTGTGGTTGAAAATGCCCAGAAATAAACCAGTGTGTCAGTCTTTTATCAAGCCTGAGTGCTGCAATGCCAGAGGCTTTTTGTTTTAATAGTTTTGAGTTAATCAAGTAATTTATCTCTGAATTTCAGCTTACCTGTGTGAGCAGGTTCTGTCCTTCTCTGCTCAGGTTTTATTACTTCACTAGGAATGTGACTGGTGAGCTGGGTCTTCTAGGAGGAAGAGGTAGATGAACTTGCTTACAGACCGCACTTAAGGACACTTCTGTGAATTTTTCAGGTTGTGGTACCACCTCTACCAGGAAAAGCTCTTCTCCGTCAGCTCCCCTTCCGAGGAGATGATGGTATATTTGATGATTCCTTTATAGAGGAGAGGAAGCAGGCTCTTGAACAATTCATAAACAAGTAAGTGTTGGATCTAGTTATTTAGAGACAAACCTGGAGCTCAGCCCTGGAAAATTGAATTGAAGCTACTAATCCTCCTAAGGATGGTAACTGCATTAGGTTCAGAATATTAACTTTCACATAATCTTGCAGTAAGATGCACTAACGTTACTCATCCCATGTTTAGTTTTGATACCTTAGTGCTTACCTGAACAGCTGAAATGACTGTTAGTGTTGTTAATTTATGCAAATTGCTACTAAAATTATAGTGTTCAAAAGAATTCTACTTTATAATTTCTGAAAGGCTATCTTCCAACTGGGTGAACAGTAGAGCTTACAGTGGGCTTACAGCAGTTTACTTTGATTGCAGATGTGAGGTATTATCGGTTTGTGATGATGCATATTTTCTCTAATCATCCTGAGAATCTTTCTGAAGATTCTGAAGTAAAAACAGTACTCGAGGTATGCACACATAGTTTGAAATAGACACTTTAGATTTTTGTCCCCGCCTTTCAAAGGGTGAGCAGAAATTATAGTAACAAAGTCTTATGATTCTTTTTCCACTATCTCACACTACTAACCACTGTCTGTACACTGACCTGAATAGCTGGTTTAATCTCTTTAACAGTGTGGATCCAAACAGTGGGTAAGCGGTGTTGTCAATTAACCAGCTCTTCTGGTCCCTAGAGTTAATGCTGTTCAAACCAACTGGATTTGGGACTGCTCCCTCAGGCAGTTCAAGCCTGTCAGTTACCCTGGCATTCTAATCTTGTTCAATAGTAATGCCTTTAACAGGAACAGAGGATGCCTGTGAGCTACAGCAGAACTTACGAAAATGTACTTGTCAGTTGCTTTTAGTTCAGGGATGTGTCTTGGAGTTGCAAGTGACTGGTTCACTGAAACTGTTTGTCCTGTACAAGTGTGACCATATGAAATCTCTGACATTTTTCTTCTCATAGTTGCTTCTTAACTAATTTTAGAAGTATTGCTAATGGTTCTGAATGGGTAAAATGCTTCAGACTGCTGTTTTTGCTGTTCAAAGACAAGTGGAATGAACTTCCAAGGCATCCAGTAGTAAGATGGAATGTGTTTCGGGTTTTTTTAATGCCAGAAAATCAAGGCAGTCATGACTGTAAAGTACAGCCTTCATCCATGCCGGCTTGGAACTCTATCTTAAATGGAGAAGAAACTGAAAGTTTTGTGTGCTGAGTCTAGCAGTATGCATGGAAGGTGGCTATTGGTGTTCTGAAGGAGCTGATGTGAAACAGACGTCTTACCCTGACTCTGAAAAGCTCCATTTAGCTGACAGAAATGAAATTACTAGTTTATTGGTATCCATTTTTCAGTCCTACTGAAAGTAATAAGTTGATTTGGTCGAAGTGTAAAACTTCTTAGTTATTTTTTCCTCCTTTGAAACATAAAAGGAGATTAATGTAGATATTGATGTAGTGGCAGATTTGAGTACATCTGGAATAAAGCTTTCCAGGCACAAATCATAGCAGTTTAACTCATCAGTGTATTCTAATGGCATGACCAACTCATTAAGTAAATATTACTAAAGTTTTGAATCATGCAGGAGCTTTAAGGCTTCTGCCAAGTACTCTGGGCACTAGTGAAGGTCCTTTGCACAGTACATTCACATTATTGCTTCTGGAATTAAAGAGTCCCTCAGATAACTGGTACCACTGGAACAGAAAAATCTTAATGCACTGATGCTAGTTCTTCATATTTGGGAGTGTGAGATGGATGTTGTTGAGAAGTTTTGCCCCTCTAGACATAAAATCTGAATCACAACAGTGCAGCTTGAGTCAACTCTCTTGGGCCAGTTTGCTGGCACCACCATCCATGCCACATACAGTGACATTCATAAGGGCGGTTATGTCTCAACACTCTTGTCTGCCTCAACCTGTCTTTGAGATACATGAAAATTCTTGAAGTAGCAGCTGCTATATGTAAGGGTCACCTTGGAGAAAAATATTGAGGGAAAGCCAATGCAGAGTGAAGTATTCCTGTGAAACCAAGGGCTGAATCAGAGATCAGATCTAGTCTTGCAATTCAGCCACCAATTTCAATCCTTCCTGAAAGGAAGAAGTCATTTGCTGCTCCCTCATCCTCTGTTATGTATCTTTTCCTTGAAGTTTAACACCACTAACTTCATTCTGATGGGGTAGGAAACTCAAACTAGTTACTCTAGACTGTCATCCTTGTGAACTAGTGCTTGAGACTGCTGGCCTTTTACAAGAACCTGGCAAGATGGATACGTTTTATAACTGCACTTGAAAAAATCCATCAATACTGAATAGGAGAGCCCAGCTTCCTCATTATAGGTCACCCTCAATGACAAGTGAGTATGTTCTGTGGTGAAATAAACACTAATAGATAAATTTGGAGAAGATGCACAGAAGTGCTTGGAAGTGGTGCTGAGCCATTGGAGCTGAATATGTATTGCATGTGTTCAACCAGATGCCTTCTATTATGAGTAGAAATGTTCTGACAGATACGGAGGCCACAGGGCTTGTACAAGCTGCCCTTGGGATGGTGAGGGACTTTCTGTCCTAGAGTAAGAAGTCTGTCTTGATTGACCAAACTGGATGTAGTTTTTTTCAAACCAAACTGCATTGGGTATTCGTGTCCATAAATGAGGAACTTTTAGCTATCTGGTTTTTTTTTATTTTTACCTACACAGGAGTCTCCATTTTAAGGGTTGAAGTGCAGTACCTTATGATTTTCTTCCGAGTTTGTGTCTCCTAATTCAATTCCAGCTCCTTTACTGTTAAAAGGATGTTTTTTCAGTTTAAATTAAATCTACAGTAGAGGTGCTGGTGTCCCCTACAGCAGGCGAGCTCTGTGTCCTGTGTATGCGAGCTAGCGCATGTGCAATGAGCAGAAGGGCCGGTACCCCCAGGCTGTGTGCAGTGCTGCCCATACAGGCCAGGACACTGAGCCCGAGGAGTCTCTGGCTGGAGCAGCGCCCGAGCCTTCAGAAAGCCTTCACACCCCCTGCTGGAGCCAGGCTTCAGCTCTGCCACGAGCAGCTGCTGCTCAGTGACACTGACGACTCACAGGATAAATGGCCTTTAGAAGGGTGTCCCGTGGCAAAGGTGTTAAGACCTTTAAAAAAAAAAAAATCCTGTTGCCTTTCTTAGCTCTAGATTTCCTAATGCTAGAATGGACACTTGGATAGTCCCATCAATTGCAGGTGACAGATGATGTAACATGCTTCCAAGGGATCAGAGGTAGCTCAGGGTTCCTATGGACTAACTTCATCTGGGGAAGCATGATAAATCTTGCTGCTAGACAGCATTCTACTTGCCAACAGTGAAGTGAAATTGGGATTTATGCCCAAGTGCAGAACAATAGGTAATTGGTACAAAATCTTGATCTGCAGGATAGCTGCAAGTAGGCTCAATTGGTTCACACTAATGCTTGTTTTTTTCCTCTCCAGGGTTGCAGGCCACCCACTGGCACAGAATGAGCGTTGTCTTCACATGTTCTTACAAGATGAAGTAATAGATAAAAACTACACACCATCCAAAATAAGACATACTTGAATTTTAAAAGCATCTTCTCAAATATTAGTGGTTCTTATGCTTGGTTTTAAGAGGTTGTAGTTTGTCTTAGCATGCTGAGGATGAACAGGCACAAAGTCTCCACTAACACCAGTACACTGCTTGGTTTTTGCATATGCTTTATAGCATTTAAGAACTCACTTGTCTTCTAGCTAAATCCCTCTGAATCCTTGATTTAAAAGTATTATACTATGAAACCATCCACCCCTTGCAATGTGTCACAAACCTTTCCACTATTATTTGCAATGACTTAACAATGTTTACTGACTTGGCCTTACTTGAACTTTCACAACTGTAGTGTCACGTGTTCACTTGTATTTGACTAAACTGCTATGCTGTTTCTGAGGTAGTCATCTGTCTGAATGTCTGTAGAAAGACTGCTTTATTTCTGATATCCTGTATGAGAAACACTTATGCAATTGTCTTCAAGCTTGTAAAACACTTTATACTGAAGTAATGAGGGAATTATCTTTATATTCTGTAAGAGGAAAAAAATTGAATTTATATACTAAAGTAACTTGTCTAAAGTTTTGAAATAAAAGTGAAAATGCACTTCAAATGTTTTGTCACTCTTACCTTGAGTGTGGAGTATCTCATGCTTTCTGAGGAGAAGGGGCTTGACTATGCTAAGTGAACTAAGTGTAGGTGTTACAGCCTCACTGTGATGCTCTTCCACAAGGTAGTTGTGTATCACTAACAACCAGCACTAAGTACCCTTAGATGCTGCCACTCACTCTGCAACTGTTAAAGAACATATAAAGATATAAAAGGCTGTTCCTGTGTCGTGGAGCCAAAATTGGAATCCCACTCATGGTGGGTAGTGTACAGATCTGTGACTTTAATAAACTCTGGGAAAAGAGTACCTTTCTACCTGGCATGAGAAGCATCAAATTTAGCTTCAACTCTGTCATCCTATAGAGAAAGGAACATTTACATCACCTATATTATAACATGATTCCTAGATTAAAGTAGCTCTGCTCTACAAATAGAATTAGGAACATGAAGTCATACAGGTCTGCTGTAAGATGTGATCAGAGACCACGTCACTGAACACTAAAGGAGGGGTGAGCTGTAGCATTGTGCTGGTTTGACCACTGGGCAGTGCAGGTGCTGGATGGCTGAACTGCAGTTCACAGCAGCACTGCTGAAGTTGCCTTTTATACAAGAAGGAAGTGAACTGGAAAAGCTTCCTTAGTCTTCCAAATGGGACATGGAAGCTACCTCTCCAGATGCTCTTGAAAGCAGATTCCAGAACAATCTAGCAGCAATCTGCTCAAGTGTTTTGTGCTATTTGGTAGCTACATGTTGGCTTAGACTCAGCTCTGTTGCTTCTTTCCTTCTTATGACACTTATCTCTGTAAAGAGTATCCTACAAACTTGTTGGCAAAATTAGTGGCTTCTTTTAACTAAGACCGTTAATCTCGTTTATGGAAATCTGAATGTAAAAGACTGAACTGACAAGGCAGTGGTGGCTGTCTGGATTACACATAGTACTAGTGATTAGCTACACTGAATAGATAGGTGTTTGAATAATTGCTCTGAATAGTTTAAATTTAGGTGGAAACCTCATGCTTAACTGAGACTGTGGTGATTCTCTAACTGTTCTTGATTCTCTTTAACTATTCACGAAACCAAGGACCAAAACTGACAGTCCATTTGCAGCCCAAGGCTGTCACTTTTCAAGATGTTTTTGATAATGTAAATAATTTCCAAATTTCTCTCTCCTTGTTGAATCACCCCTAAAAGTTGAGTTATTCTTGAAAAGGGGGAAGGAAGGATTAAATTTATTGAAGTTTCATTATGTAGGTTTAGACACAGAATAAGCTGGGGTTTTTTTCTCAAATGTTATTTTCTGAGAGAAGCTTCTTTCAGAAATCAAAGTAAATGCCACATCTTAAACCTAAAGATAATGACACAAGCTCTATCATTTGCCATGAACAAAATCAAAATATTTAAGCTGAAGAGGGGAAAGCTGCATGTTTGAAATCAAAGTATTCCTATTTCCAAAGTGAGGACTTTGGAGCATTAGTCTCTTAGAATGACAGGGTATTTGCATAGCACTCTGGGATCTCACCTAGCCTTCAGTCTTTCAAGGCTAGCTAAAGACCCCAATTCTAGTGTAACTGGTTGTGCTTCAGTGCAATGTGCAGTAGTGGGAGCAAGACATAGTGTGAGATTAGCTGTGCCTAAACCACAGGGATCTGGGCATTGTTCCCAGCTTGTGAGTCTGCTCTGCAGCTGGGCCAGATCTTGCAGGTAAGAGGATGAGATGTGGGTGTGGTGCCATTGCCTAGCCTACTTTGTCTGTACACTCTGTTTTGTCCTCTAGCCTGGGTGATGTAGGGACTGGGACTACAGCAAACTGCAGAGTGTGATTGCCTGATTGCCTAGCAGGGTGGATGCATGTTTATTATTGCTGCTCTGGGACAGCAGCATGAATCTTTTTGAAATGAATGTTCTGTGATGGATTCTGTGCAGCACTGGGTTCTACTTCTCTAGCTCATAAACTGAATTGTCACAGAGTGGAGAACCACAGTTGATTTTTCTGCCTTATCAGGTTCTTTTTAGTGTAGAGAGCAGAAAATTGTTGAAGATTATTACAGGTGCAGGAAGAAAGGATTATAAACAGTTTGTTGGTTTCTTTCTAAGAGTGTGCTGTACCCTGTGGAAAGTGAATTTTTAAGTGCTCTAAGCTATTTTGTCTAGAAGATACTTTGAGGTCCCATAGCCTGTGACTCATCTTGTATATTTATGGTCTGTCTGTCTTGGAAAAGACAGAATGTTAGACCCAGGAGACTGCAAATGGAAAGAGCTGGGATTAAAACTTTTGAGTTCTGAAACGTGAGATTTTTGAGCTTGGAAGTCAACAGAGCTAGGACTTCATTTGACCTGTACTCCTTGACACTGCAAACTAATGAGCTATCAATACACACAGTTTATTTCCACCTGTCATTTTAGCATGCATGGTTCTTCAGTTACTCATTGCCATATGAACAATACATTTCCCTCCTGCTATTGCCAAGTTGTTCTGTTGATTGGGAGTTGTTTCCACCTTTCTTTGGTGTGATTATGCAGTTAGACACCTTAATAAAACCTCAGTCTTTTTAATTGAAGCAATGCTTTTGTGCTTATCACCTTTTGTTAGCTGCACAGTTCACTGATATTAAGAATTGTAATAACATGCAACAGAAGGCACATACTGGGGTAGACCTCTGATGCACTTAGTGTTGTATCCTAGAAAAAGCTATATGTCACCTTCTTGAGAAAGAAACCTTGCAGCTGGTATTTCTTTGGATTACAGAAAATAGCTCTATACAGGATCTCACAAGGCAGAATCACCTAAGCTACTCCTTTAATGTTTATCTTACCTGTTTTTAAAAATCTCTGATGATGGAAACTCCATGGGACCTAGGACAATCCATTTTAGTAAAGAATATTTCTATTCCCTGGTAAGTGGGGAACAGTGAAAGAAGCTGATTAAGGACAACAGTTAAAAGATCAGTGGAAAATAATTTAAATTCAATATATTTTTATTCTTTGTAAATACAATGAGTACAACTTTTTAACTTCACAAATCGGTTAATCCACTTTGTACAGGAAAAGTTTTACTCATTCTATGATAGTTCAAGTGCTGATCTTTCTCAGTGCTAGTTCCTAATAACAAATCAGATTTTGAAAAGTACAGCAGCTATCTTTAAATGTTTTTTTCTACATTTTTCGTACATCAAATAAGCAGCTTATAACATTTTTGTGTGTGAGAGGGTGTAGGCGAACAAGGCTTCAAAATTAGAACCTGGAGTTTTCTAAAAAGGCATTGGAGACTTTTGGAAATTGTTAGCATTGTATCAGTCAACAACCTTTATTTCTTTGAAATAAAATTCCTTCCATTGACTTTTTTATAGTCATTTCATTTCTCTGCACATCTCATTGACAAAGAGTTTGGCCACCGTTGCCTTTGGTTTCAGCACTGTGCCAACGGGACAGCCAGCAGATCACTGAAGCGGTCATCTCCATTGTATTTGGTTTTGCTGTTTTAGTCTTCCTTTCTTGTGTTGTCTCTTTTCAGGTATGTGTGAATGTATGTCTGTGTGTGTGGAAGAGGAGGGAGGGAAGGTCGGGGAGGAAATGTATAAAGCTCTTCTGTCTTTGAGATGTTAACTGAACAAATTGTGGTGACATCCGCATCAAAGATCACCAGTTCATTTTGTAGGAAGAATGGAGCTGCCGTCATAAGCTACCTTTTAATCAGTTCTGAAGGCCACTTCATGATGTATTATAGCAGAAGCAATGTTTTGGTAACTTGGTCTCAAATGTTGCCTATCTTATTAAAAACATTTTCCCAACATAGGCTACTTTTAAAACAATTCTGAAGGCCACCACATCTTGTGTTACAACAGAAGCCAAGTTTGGTCACCCGGTTCCAAATACTGAACAAGCTAAAGTACCTTCTTTCACATTTTGTCTCAGATCTGCCAGTTAAATGAGAGAATAGCAGAGTCTTTGTTAACTATGACTGGCATCTGAATTGCCTCCATCCTGTAGTAACAGGAATAGCAGCCAAATTCCAACCACTTTCACTTTTTCTGTAGAACAAAGCATTCTCTCCATGATCTAAATCACTCTGTTCAGAGCAGCAGAATCATATCTACTGGGGTATTTTTTGTCAATGAGTTTAAGGACTAAACATTCCCAGGCTTATGCTTCCTGTAGGTTTTGTTAGTTGAGGCTTATTCTCCATAGATAAAAGTTCTTCTCAAACTGTCCATCCTGATTGTTTATTTTAAGGTAATTTATATGTCACTGGATTTGTACATATCTGAAAGCAGTCTTGTAATTGGTACATTCCCAATGGTCTTTTTGAAAAACACTTCTTCTATTGTAGATGGACTAATTGAACGTAAAGCTGGTAAAAGCAATAGCAGTTTTCCAAAACGGCAGGGTTGTGTAGGATACCTGAGAGACAGAGAGAAAAAGAATTTTGTTGAATTTTTAAAGAATTTTTTCAAAGGAAGGACTTTATTTTATAGAAAAATACCAATATTTACTCAATTGCACAGGTGGTGCTACTTGCGTGTCCCAGTTTGAGACCAATTTGGGAGGAAACCCCATAACCTCAACCTAAGTGCAGTTTGCATGGTCTACAATGACTCAGAATCTAGTGGGATACTAGTGTCACCCCAGGTCACTGTGCCAAAACCCTGTGTTTTGTACTTGTGTGAGCAAGAAGGTTGACTCCAAGAAAACTCTCCATGGCAGTCAGCAGAATATAGGACAAGGCTTCTGAGTTTTGTTTAGCTCTGTTCATTCCTCTAGAGCAATGGCAATACAAAAACTGTGCCTGCTCTGATGTGTCCCTCATACAGCAATGTTCTCAGTGCAGTTCAGGGAAGAGCTTGACTTGTAGTAACTACCCTGTCATTTGAAGTACAGTTTAAAACTAGCTGGATTGTCATGGTAGTCACTTTACCTAATTTTGGTTAGCAGATATGTTGAATACCAATTGATATTTGTAAAGAAAGTTTTTGTTAAAGAAGCTGTGTTTTTCCCCAGGTAATGTGTTTGTGTATAGGTATTTTCCATCCTTTCTCCCAGCCTTTGAAGCCAGCACAGCACAGGATATGCATTTCTAGCTGTACTTATGTCTTTACAACAGTGATGCTCAAACTTCTGCTTACAGTGGTCTCCCTAAAGGAAAGTGTAGGTTGTTTGGAGAAACACACTCCTTCTCCAGACCACCCTCCCTTGCATCCTGTTGAGAGCAACCCCACTGGGATCAAAGGGCTGATACTGCAGTGGCATTGGCAGGAGGGTAAATTCAAGCCTGAGGATGAAACACTCAGGCTGAAAGCCCTCTCACAATGGAGTCTGAGTGAGAGTTGGGTCAGTGGACTGCACTTTTCCCTTGTAAAAGGATATTGTTCACAACATACACTGGGTAGCACAGTATTTAAATGCTTCCAGCAACACTGAAATGCTGTGGAAAAGTTGTTCCCTTGGAAGGGAAGCTGTGGCTATGTATTTCTCCCTGGCTTCTCTCTCCAAGAGGCCGTGTCTCACTTAAGGTCTCCAGGGAGCAATCTGGATGGAAGAGGCCTTCCTTAAGAACAGGAAAAGACTGTTGTGTAGCAGTTACTCTTTTTGCTCTGAAGCAGCCATAACTGGATGGAATTTGCTTTTTTACTTCCATCCCCAATGCAGGCCATTCCCTATAGGCTAATAAAAGTGCTTCAGAGACTGCTACCATCTAATCTGATACTGATAGGACTTTTGCCCGACAGAGCTATTGTGACAGCAAATCAAAGTTTTAGAGGGAAAAAATGGTATAAAAGTTCCTCTTCCACTGCTCCATCTCCAACTGTTCTAGTCTCATGGATCTCCACTGCAACTGAAGAACTTTGCTGTGGACCACAATGGGATTCACAATTCTGGAGTTTTCATTTGAACCTGAGCACAAACTCTAGGCAGTATCTTGGAAGAGCTGCTTAAATTCCTTGTGTCTTGATTTCTCTGTCTGCAAAATGGAGGAGATTATATGAGAACTAGAGATTGTGAGTGAAAGGTGCTCATTCTGGTCTGAGATGCAATGTTTTGAGCATCACTTTTAGTGGTATTTGATTGAATAAAACATAGGGGCAAAATTAGCCCTCTGAACTGCAAAGTATTACACAGCTGGTATCACTTCCCAGAGGAAGAGCCCTCCTTTTAACACTTTTCTATTTGTTTAAAAACACCGGGGTGCTGGAGCACACCCAAAGAGGAGCAACAAAGCTGGTAAGGGTCTAGAGCACAAGTCCTGGTTAGGGGTCTAGAGCAACAGCTAAGGGAGTTTGGGTTGTCTAGTCTGAAGAAAAGGAGGCTAAGGGGAGGCTTTATCACTCTCTACCTGAAAGGAAATCACAGTGACATGGGTTTTGGTCCCTGTTCCCAGTCACAAGGAATAGGACAAGAGGAAATGGCCTGAACTTGCACCAATGGAGGTTTAGTTTGGATATTAGGAAAAATTTCTTTCCCAAAAACGTTGTCAAGCATTGGAACAGGCTGCACAGGGAAATGGTGGAGTCATCATCCCTGAAGATATTTAAAACGTGTGTAGATGTGGCACTTGGGAACATGATTTAATGATGGACTTGGCAGCGTTAATGGTTGAACTGGATGATTTTAAGGATCCTTTCCAATATTTTCTATGGTTCTATTTCATCAGGAAATGCCAAATCCCAGCAGGCTGACAGCCAATGTATATTCTCTGTAGCAGCCTGGTCCCCATTTCAGTCAGTGCAAATGTCACCTTCCATGCAATGAGAGCAGGATTTTACCCCCACACCTGCCAGAAGCATTGACAGAAGACTCCACTGACCTGGTATGAATGTAGCTGTTCAGGGTGAGCTGGGCTTCGTCTTGAAGGGCTGCTATGGCAGCAGCATTTCGGAAACTCCTCAGTTCAGAACCACTGTGTGTGGGCACTGGAAAGCAGATCAGTTACTAGTTCAGCTTGACTCTTGGGTGGATCAAAACAGTTCAGCTAGTGCTATCAATGGAAATTAAATGTTCCCATTAGTTCCCTAGCACTCCACTGTCAGCCCTTTCAAAATGCAGTAATGACTATTGGAATTCAATACCAGGAAACCTACTGGGTGATACAAAGCTATGCCTGGTTTAAAACATCATTTTCACTTTAAAGCAGCAACCTCATAGTTTTCAGACTAGACAAGTGAAAGATCCTGTCTGCTTACCAGCTTTAAAAGTGACAATGCATTTGAGACAGGCAAATTCAGTAGCATCTAGCCGAAGTTGTCTAAATCTAGCCACAACCTCTTGTAAAGCCTGTATTTCTGAAATAATTTTATTCAGCTTCTGAGAATCTGTATTGTCACCGTTCATGCCTGAAACAGAAACAGATGAAATAAATAATATTAAAGACATTTGCTTTATTTTATATTGATTTCTGACAAGATCCTCTGTATCAATGTCCTCTCTATTGTCACACTTGTCTATCTGGTTCCATGTAAACTGACTATATTGTATGAAAGTTAATATAAAATCTTCTCTTGGATGATAACAAACACAGTAATTTGCATTTAAATGACAATGCAAGCAGTCATGAATACAACAAAACAACATTATTTGCATTTAAATATAGATTTATAAATGACAGGTATGCTCTATTGTTCAGTAGGAATTTGTTATTCTTTACATGTTGTTCTTTTTTCAGTAATGTATTTTTATGGTAATTTTTGTAACAAAGTCATTAAATTGTGCAATTCTTACCAGATACAGCCAGTAGAGTGTTAGCATCAACTGGAATGGCCCATTGTGCTATTCCTAGAACAAACAGTTCTCTCCAAGCATCTTCCAAAAGCATCAGCTGTCATACAATAGATGTACAATATAACATAGTGTATAATTTATAGATTTATAAACAATTTAAATATGTAAATTTCTGTTATTTTAAAAACTGCTTTAAATGCCTGTCATGGTATTCCCCCACAGCATTCATTAGCTCTTCTCTTAGTCTTTTGAGAAGGTGTCTAGAAATAAGTCTATGCATTGTAGAAAAACACTGAGGGTTGGCTCACTGTGCACCGTGTTGTGGACCAAAAGGGAAGAGAAAGAGGGTGAGAACTCTTTTTCCAGAGTTTTTTGTTTATAACATGAACACACTTGCTTTCTCAGCATTGTATGGGTTCTCGTCTCCTCCCCCTCAGCACTTATACAGCTGTTCTAGGACAGGCTGGATGAGTGCTTTCCTCTTGCTCTCTGGGGATTACACTCCTTTCCCTCAGGAAGGCAGAATTTTGTGAAGAAAAGCCTGGATAACATCCTTCATCAGTGCAGGGAGCAGTGCTTTAGAGTACGCATCCATCTTACAACCCCTTCTTTACTAAGCCAGTCTAGATCTGTCAAGCACAGCGTCTGGATGCACAATTTCTCACTGTCACCTGTTTTTCTGCTTTTTTGCTTAAAATCACTCAGAAAGTCCAGGCACTAAGAGCTGTTTACTTTCAGAGATGTGAATATGCAGGCACCTATGCTGACAGCATTGCTAGTTCTCTGCAGTTTTTGCACACTGTGTGCCTGTATGAAGGATGTATTTTCCTCTGTTTTCTCTGAGGCAATGCTTGTGATTTCCCTGGAAAAGCAGTGGTGCATCTGAAGAGGAGACAAGACTTCTGGAGATGCAGGCTGGCAAAGCCGACCAGACATGTTAATCCTGAGGGCATCTATGGATTGTTAGCCCAGACCAACTCTTAAGAGAGGTTTGGAGGACCTCGAGTTCAGCTGAAGGTCATGGCCAAAGGGCATGTGGTGGTGTGTACGTGTTGCTGGGACCTTGTGTCACACAGTAGGGTAGGAGAGATTTGAAAGGGTGAGAACTGTACTGGTAGAAGATATCTTCTAGCAGCTCCATGCAGTGAAAGCAATTGCCCAAAACTCAAGCAGAAAAATGAAGCCACCAAACCAAAGCCCTGAAACCTGCAATCATTAATGTTGCTACGGTCCCTGAAACTATCAGCAGCTTAGCTTCTTAGGAAAAGAGAAAGGAGGGTATTTTAAGTATGTAAAGAGTCTGTAAAGAAGAACAAAATAAAAAAAAAGATGCTGTACCAAATTAATGATTATATCCTTGAAATCAGATATGTGAAAGTAGTAGGTGATACAGAAAGCATCAGTAAAAGCGAATCCTTCATCTATCTGCAAGCTCTTAATAATATTGCTGTTCAGAACAGTGCTACTTGTTGCCAGCCACTAGGACACAAGGCAATGGGCAGAAACTGCACTGAAAATTCCACCTGAATATGAAGAAAAACTTCTTTACTGTGCCCCAAGCACTGGAACAGGTTACCCAAAGTCGTTGTGGAGTCTCCCTCACTGGAGGGAACAGCCTGGACACAATCCTGTGCCATGTGCTCTGGAATGCCCTTACTTAAGCAGGGAGGTTGGATCAGATGTGATCCCTTCCAACCTGACCACTCCTGTGATTTTATGATTACAAGTTTTAAATCACCCTGTTCCAATCTGAATGGAAGGAAGAATTCTCAGAGTTCTGCTCTCAACTTGTCACTGCAGGGTTATGTCCATTTTATGCCTTTTTGCCCTGTGCGCTTCGCAGAATTTCTCCATAACCTAAGGAAATTGTGACAGGAAGGTACTCATGTGTCTGCATAGAGTTGCTGTTTGAAACACTTAGGTTGGATTTTACAGTACCAAAAACTGCCCAGATTATTGCCTGAAATGGAGATGGAGAGGAGGTGCTGTGTCTAGAGTGTGGTGCCCATCTCAGCTTTCTTCTGAGAGCAGATGAATCTACTCTTAAATTTCCTAACCACTGCAGCCTGCAAACCCAGTGCCTCCTCTGGATAATCCCACCTGATGGATGTGCAGGTGTCTGTATGACATAGGAAATGATTCCCCAGCCTCTCATTTGCTTTTGTAAAACTTTTTTTGTCATTCATTCATGCAGATACAATGGTAATGAATGGTGGTTCTTGGAAGATATCAATTTCATATTTTCTTTCCCACCAAGTCTTTAAAGTCAGAAGACTTTAGAAATAAGAGACTATTCCAATAGCTAAAGCTTTCTTCATGCCTATGCATAAGTCTGTAAAACCACCAATTAAAATAATTCATGTTGAAGTCATACTCAGCCCTCCTTCAAAGAAACAACAAGTACTAGGCTTTCTGAACAACTGGCTTTGATTCTTAATCAACCCCATCCTTAGTGTGACCTTTTGTTGTTGACCTGCATTGGGCCAACCTGTCTAATGTGGGCAGGTATGCAGGCCAGCAGAACCAGAAGCACGACAGTTTTTGTTGTGTGGTGTCCAGTTCAAAATGGACGTATCTGTATGAATCTAGGGGAGGGACACAGCCTCTGTTTTACCAGAGGTAAGCAATGCAGCAATGCTCAGACTTGTGTTTTGTCAGAAAATTGGTTTCTATTTATTTCCCTGCCTTCAAGATAAAACCACCACAGAGTCCTGAAATCACAGTGCACTTGCCTTTTTAGAGGAGCACAAAAAAGAGCAAAATTCAGGAAAATATTTTAGTCTCTCCTCAGCCAGATGTCGGGGATACCAAAAGAGAAATGCAGAAATTTATGGCTGGACCATTGTTAAATTAAATATAGCAATAGAAATGTTATCAAAATTAACTGTATGATTATTCATTAAATAAGGGGATTAAAATTAGAGTTATTTCTTCTCCAGCTCTCCTAAGTATGACAAGGGAATCATGCAAAAAGAGGCCCAAATCAAAGCTTTTGAGCTGAGCAGCTCTGAGTTTTGAGAAAGCTGACTTGCAATGAGTTACAGCAAGTGACAGTGATGTTAAGGAAAGGCTGGGTTTTTAATATGTTATCCACTAAGATCAGTCTCTGCTATGAAAGTGAAAGAGGTAGTGGCTTATTTAATGGGAGCACTGTGGTATCTATGGCAGATAGGCAGCTGTTTGAGGCATACTTGGTCACCTGCCATGGAGATTTCCCCTGCTCCCAGATCCTGCTGTCTCCTCCTCTGCACACTAACAGAGATGATGGTGTGGGAAATGCCTCCCTATTATGTAAGAGAAACTCTTTGCCTAGGGAGCCTCCTGTGGACATCACTGGTCTAGAGATGGACCCAGTCTCCTCCCATGTGCTGGGGCTGCTGCTGGAGCAGTGCACCTGCTTCTTGTCCCTGACACTTGAGCCTGTTTCTTTGGTTGCTCGCTGTGACAGACCCAGTGCTCCACAGGATTAGTGGCCACAGAGGACACGATTAGAGAGCAGCAGGATGCCACACTGGGATTGTTGTCTTCCTGCTGGTATGTGTGACCTTCCAGGCCCTGTCTCATCACTCCTCTCATCCTCACTGCATAGCAAGACTGCAGGTGGAGCTGAGCAGCATTCCTCTGTGTCTAATTTCACAGCAAGGATTTCAACGTGGGTTTGGTGCTAGAAAATTAGCATCTTTATATACCTTAGCTTTACAACACATTGTCACCATCATTATTTACCTTTAGATTGAAAACACTATTGGTTTCCTAAGAAGCTCTTTCTTTTAGTTCAAAATAGGTATTTGCATATCAACTGCAACACTGGTAATGTGCTTCTGAGGAGAAGAACTAGTTTCTCTGACAACTGCTATGTAACATCTATGGCATAGTTTTTCTAGTTAACATTTTGGTAAATTGGCTCAATCATATCAAAGTATTAGATATCTTTTATGATTGGAGCTTTGTGTAGATTTCCACCCTTTCATTTTACAATTATCTGATTACTTTTTAAAAAATTGATGCATTATACAAAGCACACCGAGTCCTCATCAAGAATCAAGTCATTAAGAAATTGTTTTGTCTTGTATGGCTCACCTATGATTTGCTTGAGGCAAAGGCAAATTATCATAGAGGAAAACAAAACATGTTAGGGAAGATTTTAATTAATGGTAAAAAATATCGGGGGCTGGCCAAATACTTCTTCCACCATATTGATGTAATTGTAAGCCAAGGTGAATAAGGAAAAAATGTTGGCTGTTTAAACATTTGAGAGGAGAGGAGAAGAGAAGGAGAGGTGGAGGAGAAGGGGAGGGGGAAGAGGAGGAGGAGGAAGAACTAGTAGAGGAAGAACTGGAGGAGGAGAATTGGTCTTCAGAAACAACCTCAGTCATATCCTGAGACCACAAACTTAACTAAGCATTTTTCATCCCAAAATAGCTAAGTAAGATGCTATTCCCCATTTTATGGAAGGAAAAATTGTCCTACATGTAGAGAAGCAGTTTGGGCATGCTAAGATTGGTCTGCAGCCTGGTGATTTCTTCTCTAGGACTTGTCTTTCCATAGTATTCATTTTATGTTAGATTTCTTTTTTCCTGCCTTGATTTTCACTTGCTTCATAGGATAAAAGTCAGAGGAAATCAGTCTCTAAATCACTGCCTGGTTTTCAGGGACAGACTGAAACTCTGCACTGAACTTCAGAGCAGTTGAAGTCCACTACAGATTTCAAAGTCTTAGGGCTGGAAGGTCAGGACCCAGTGTGAAGTCTGAGCCTTCTTTAACAGGGAGGCCAGGCCAATGCCACTCCCACTGCCAGTGCCTTACCTGGTCTTGTAAGGACAAGGTGGAGAAGGCTGGGACACTTTTGGCCCACTTGATGCTCATGAACAGAAGTCTGGCTGCTGACTCACAGACGGATTCAGTGGCCACTTCGTAGAGATACATAGGGGTACCGTTGACTTCATGTGGGTACTAATGTCAAAGAGAAAATAAAGCCATTTCATACAGTGCCACCAGGGCAGCCTGCTCTTCTCTCTCCTACATTCAGTGCTCATGCCCAATGCAGAGTGTGCACTCTCGTGTTCTGCAAGCAGAGGGCATTGCTTGCAGTGGGCTCACTCCAACTGCTCCTTGCTGCTCATCCATGTGGATGAGCTGTACTAAAGAAACTGCTCAGAGCAGGAGGTTGAAAGGAGAATGAAATTATCACATCGGGGGAAAACGTGTACCAAAATTATGTCACGCTTTACTCAGTTACACAGTTGCACACCTCTGATAGCAGAGTTAGAAGAATAAAAATTTGATTAACAACATGTAGTTTGTAACCTCTCGTCAGAAGCTGATTTAGCATTCCAGCCCTGCTCAGCAAAGCAGTAAATATTCATTTAGCCTAAACCTTCATCTTGCTCCCTGACTGCAACAGGTTGTAAGTAGATGTATAGAGCTAAGCATAACTATCTAGAGGCTATGTAGGGTTTTTGAATGGAGTTATGTTTTCAAGTGTGTGCTACATTTTCTTGCCAAATAATTTCTGATTCATCATTTTTCAAAATTACTACATAAAACTGTATGTTGTGACCACATTTATGATGGGTTCTGCCAAGCTACCTACCAGCTCTGAAAATACAGAACTATTTAAGCAGTTTTTTCTGTGATTTTCTAGATACTGTGAAGATGCAAAATACCATTGCAAATGGGCTAATGAAAAACATTGTATTGCAGCTAATTCTGGTGCAGTTGAGGCCACAGCAGTGCTTCCACTGGGCTGCTTAGGAAATGTCACAACCAAGAAGTGCAGAGAGCCAGCTTAGCCAAGTTTGGGTTTTGTGTCTGTGGGGACAGGCTGCAGACTTTGGTCAGTACACAAAGTATTTTCTGAGCTACACCACTATGGAGATTGGCATTTCGCTGAAGAAAACTCATTCACAGGGATTGCATTCCTTGTGAAACGAGTTTTAAAACTGACTTGTGGATGGGCTCCAGGCAGGAGGAGCATTTCTGCATCCATGAAGGTATAAGAATGTGTGAGAGACAGGGTTTGTATGGAGCAGGTTATCAGTTGGTCCTGCTGCATGCTCCTTCTCCAGAGGGTGTTACACCTCATATCCTCACAGCTTTTAGGGGTGTCACAAAAGTCCCTACTACAACCCACAAAGCTTCAAGCCTTGCTGTTTGCCGTGTCTACCCCAGAGGCAGGAAGGAGCCGACAGGTTGCAGGCACGTCAGCAGCAAAGTTTGCAGCCTGCCGGGGCCCAGGGCAGTGACTGACCTTTGGGGTGGGCTGTGCCAGGCCCACCAGAGCCTGTCTCTCCGGGGTGCCAGTGACAGCGGCCAGCTCCAGGCCATGGGGCTCCAGCTGGGAGACGGCGGTGAAGAAGGCGGGTGCCGGCAGGGCGGCAGCGGGGAAGTGCGGAGCTCCGCCGCTCTCCTCCTTGTGCCCGCGGAAGTAGAGGGCCACCTGCTTCCGTATCGTCGACGTCCGGGGGCCCCGCTCGTGCTGCACCGCTGTGGGGCATCAAAGAGGGACGAGGGGGTCACCTCGGGGATCCGCACTGGGTACCCCACACTGCCCGACCGGGCTTCCCTCCCTCCCTGCAATTTTCTGAGGCCAGCCCTGTGCCCCCCAGCCCGAGAGGGGAGAAGTGTCCGAAGGCTGCCGCAGGATGGGAGGGTCATTAGTGGCCGGGCCAAGGAGACACCGGAGTGACACAGCGCTCCTCGGTTCAGAGCAGCTCCCTCCTGCTGCCCCGCCACCCCAGCCCCGGGAGAGGGGGAGCAGGTACCATCTTTGTTCATGTTGACCTCCAAGCACTTCTTCAGCCGGCAGGCTCGGCACTGGTTCCTGTGCGTCTTGTCCACCGGGCAACCTCCCTGCAACACAGCCAGCCGTCGGGCCGGGAGCAGCAGCGCGCCCACCCCGCCGGCCCCGGGCGCGGAGGGGCCGCCGCTGCCGGACCGTGCCGGGCCGTGCCGGGAGCTCGGTCCCGGGACAGGGCAGGGCGGGCCGGGCCGCCTTCAGCACCCGAGACAGCGACGGCGGCGCCGCCCCCTCGGGGCTCCTCGCTGCACCGCGCATCCCTCCGCGCTCCCGGCCTCGCATCCCCGCGGGGACGCTCTGGGAGGGGAAAGGAGAGCGGCCGGAGCAGGAAGGGGAAAAGCAGGGCTGCCTCCGCCTGGGCGCGGGCACGACACGCCGGCGTGTAAACCCATGGTTGTCCGTCGCCTGGCTGTGCTGAGGCTTACTGGGAGGCTGCCCCTCTCTGTCCTCCCACAACCAGGCGGCGTGCTGGCTGTGCCCTCCCCCTGCCCGCATCTCCCCCATCCTCTCCGGTGGGCTGGGGCGGGGGAACGTGCCGGGGGAAGGCGGGCTGGGGCGCCAAGCGCCCTGCCTCGGCCCGGCACCCCTGGGAAGGGAGGGTAAGGCTGTGTGTCTGCTGCATCTTGCTGCGGGTGTCTCTCTGTTGGTGAGGCAAGGGCAATGCAGGCCCCTAGGGAAATTCAGGGCAGAGGGTGTAGGTGGTGAGGGGGCTAGGCTGCTGCCGGTACCTGATTTCCTGATTTGCAAACATAGGTCCTATTCCTCCTGATGCTCCGCTTGAAAAATCCCGAGCACCCATCACAGGCGTAAACCCCATAGTGCTTCCCGGAGCTGCGGTCCCCACACACTTTGCAAGGGATGTCTAAAATGCGACCTGAAAGCAGAGAAGGGAATGAGGGAGAGAGAGTGCTCAGCAATCTGACCTCCGGAGGGATTAGCCCCAGAACCGCAGTACAAGCAAATAATGAAGTGATTTTATAGCCAACTTTCTTTTCCTTGAGCAAGTGTCAGTTTTCTACAATGAGCATTATTCATGCCCCGCTACGTTTATTTGGATCTTCTATAATCGCCAAGACCCATTTTGGAAGGGAAGATTACAGCAGCGGGAGCAGCAGTCTTGCTTGCTAGAAGTGAGGATGAAGGGGGAGGGGACGGAATTCGGGGGGTTTGATGAGGGGGGTGTGTGTTTCCCTCGCTTTCTGGCACTCGGCAAACAGGACGGCACTTTCCCTGGGCAGGAGAGCAGTCAGGAGACTGATGCACAGAATAAACCAAACCAAAACAAAATAAAATGACCGGGAAACCAAGTAACCTCCTCTCCCCTCCGGCAACCCTGGCGAAAGAAGGCTGATTTCCGCCGCAGAGAAGGCGTGCCGTTTTCTGCGCCCCAAAACCTGCAGCAAAACTTTCCGTCTCCGTTTTATGCGCGGAGGAGTCAGCGGACCTGCGAGTCTGGCGGGCGGGCAGTGCCCCTCCGTCCTGCTCCGCTCCGCTCCGCCTCGCCCGCAGCTCCCGCTCCGCCGGGCGCTGCTTTAGCACCGGCTTTGACTAGAATTGCAAATGCTCTCAGGGACATGTAAAAACTCGTACAGAGACTATTGCAGCCCTGTTCAAGAAACCCGCCAAAACCCCTCTCTGCTTCTGCCTCTTCTCCGTTCTTTTTCTTTTTCTTTTTCTTTTTCTTTTTCTTTTTCTTTTTCTTTTTCTTTTTCTTTTTCTTTTTCTTTTTCTTTTTCTTTTTCTTTTTCTT